AACACTAGCTCCTTTTGCATTTGATGTCTAAATGGTTGCTATATTAGATTTCTCTCTGCATGGAGACATTGGTAAACATTTAAAAAACCTATTGGCAATTGGCTATAGTGCTAAAATGCTCTTAGTAAATTGTTGTGATAGTTAGCTGACCACATTCTTCTTTTGCACATGCCAACCAGAGCACTGAAGAAACGTAACTTCCTTGTTTACAATTAACTACGGCAAGCAGCAGGAAACGTTTTCAAACGCAAGTCTTGCAGTACACTTGACTGAAGGCACCAGATTAAATACCAGATGTAAAATGTAAATCCATGAAGCATGTTCAGTTTAAGGATCCAGATGTCCCATGTAATTATTTGTTAACACTAACAGAATTAAGTATTTTGCTGTGATTAACAGTATTCCACATATCTGCAGTGTAAAATCACAGACAAGTATTACCTGTTTTACCCCTACCTTTAATTATCATGTCCCGATTGTCTTGTTTATAAAATCATACATTTATATTGGTCAAAAAATAATTAAAGTATGGGCCACCTTTAAAAAAAGAAAACAGCAATTAAACAGCGTTCACTTCCTCTCATAAACAAGGCATCAAGGGAAAATATAAAGTCAATTTGCTTGTAGGTGATTGGAACACAAGTGTACAGTAACAAAGAATGATGTACTAATACTTAATGCATAATTTAATATGTCGCTGTACAGTGTTTATTTGCATCTAGGAGAGGAAAGTGTGAGTGCATATGTGAGAGTAACATTTGACAATAACAGCATATTATGTCATTGCTAACATAAGAACATATATGTTGGTGTCGAGTTCTAGTCTATGCATTAAAGGACCTGTATATCAATTAAGTGGGAGCAGGTTACAGTCCTTTGTTATGTTTATATTTGGATCTCCATTGTATCTTTAATGTCAGAGATTAATGTGGTTGCAAATCATATCTAAAATTCCAACAAAACATTCATCCTCCGTCATTACTGCAGTGATAAACAACTCACCACCGGATAACAGTTGAAGCACAGTGCCATTTGTGGTTTTACATGAAGTAAGTGACAGATCTTGACACGATCCCCATTCTCTGCAGGGCGTTTGGGCGATAATGGCTCCATTGTTTTTGGATTCATCAGCAAAAGCCGGCACTTGTTCTATTTTTGAAAAACCTTTTATGCCGTTGTTCACCATCCATGGGAGTATTTATGTCAGTGTCTGAGATGATTAGGTCACTGGTAATCAAACACGGGTTAATGCTGTGCGTCATACCTACCCTCTTGATTTTCATTAGGTTACCCTGAATAACCTCTACAGAGCACATGACTACATTGGATACAGCACTGTGATCACAGATATAAAGGAATTTGGGTAATGGTGTTTGCTCATACATTAAGAACACTGTATTTCATTTATGCAACATATTTTTTATTTTGTCATTGATAGAAATTGCTCTTTTTTTTCTGGATTAATTTCAATAGACTTTGGGGGTGCTTCTGAATTAAATGAAGCCACTTTTTCTCTATTCCAAAATGCAACGGATTACTTTACACTATCACCAGGAGTTAAATAGCAATGTGTGAAGGGGAGCCCGGGAAATTGGGGTTAATAGGCTCCATTATTGATCGCATTATAGGATCACAGCTAATTAACCTGACTATATTTCTCTACTTGGACTGTAAATGCTAAAGGTTTTTATTAAAAAGTACAAATACATACTAACATGTTTCACATCTTGACTAAATAAATAATAAATTCATTGAAAAAGCTGCTGTCAAAATTAACACTTGTCACAATACATTCACATTATAGCCTATCCACTATAAAGGATTATTTAAACACACCTTTGCAGAATGCAACAATAATTCACAGGATAAAAGAAACAACAACATTTAAACAACAAAGAAGTATCACTGATCGAAATCATAAGCTATGACTTGTAACTCCATCTGAACAACATGTGTTCTCTCTCCCCTCAATCAATCTTATTTAGGGTTTTAGCAGGTTATTCACCAAAATATAAAAGTCGTTTAGAGTAATATTTCATGAGAAGAAAGTGGTGTTTGTAAAATTAACTCAGAGCAATAGCTGACAGGATAGCTTTTTGGTTGGCCTTAAAGCAATAGCTAGAATTTTGCCCATTTATTTTCTTGTCTTTTCATTCTTCTGCCAGCAACTGTTAGCTTAGCTTAGCATACAGAATGGAGTCTGCAAACAGCCAGCCTTGCTCTGTCCAAAGGGATCAAAATCTACCAATAAACACATGGAAATAACTCATTTAATTCATACATTGTGTTATATGTGTGTAGGCTAATCTTTACGCAACCTTGAGTCTGAAAAATACAATTTGCTGTTTTAGGACAGGTTTGAGTGTGCTGAAACACCAGTAACGTACTAGCTAGCTGTTTTAACTCTTTAATCAGTCCTTATCATTAAAAATCTCACTTAATTAACACACCATATGATACGTGTCTAATCTGTGCATAAACTGAAGTGATAAATTACAATTTGCTGGGCACTAATGGCTCGTACCCACGGTGTATTAGCTAGCTGTTACCCCTATATGTTCAGTGTTTAAACTAAGCTAAGCTATATGGCTGCCAGTTCCAGCTACATTTCTATGGAGCTATTTCAGGGTCATAAGTTTTGATCATTCAAAAAAATACAATTTATTTGAAAGTCCAAGTTTTCATCCTGAACTTTGAAAAATACAATGAATAATTTGAAATAATTTTTCATGTTGAATATTATTTTGATTCAGTTCAGCAATTTTTTTTAATAAAATATTTATTTTCATATTTCACTTTTATACATATTTTGATATTGGAATACTTGTTTTTTTCAGTTTCAGATTTTACGTTTTCAGATTCAAAACAATTATTTTTTCAGTTTAAAATCTTTTTTTTTCACGTTTCAATCTTTTTTTCGCCTTCAGATCGTTTATCACTTTCAGATCTTTTTTTTTCGCTTTCAGATCTTTTTTTTTTGCTTTCAGACTTTTGACCCTGATATTGCTTCGGGGGGCGGGGCTTAGTTTGGCACCCTGAGTGACAGCCCTCCCTCTGTCATGATGCCTTCATGGATGTTAGGTAGCGCAAGAAATACAACTACACACTTTCTATACACAATACTCCCGTGATTGGTGGTGAACAAAACTGATACCAGCATCAAAGTTCCGTTAAGTGAGCTGTTGAGCATCGTATTTGGCAACAATCAAGGTATAAGAGCAATAAACTGTGCTAGAATCTGAAATCACGTATCCGCAATCAAGCGTTGTCCTTCCCCACTTCCACGTAGCTCCATGAACGCAGCATAGGCTTGGTTTTTGCGATCAGAATCAGAATACCTTTATTAGTCCCACAGGGGATACATTTACATTGTTACAGCAGACCAGCAGTTACCTAAAGCATGCATACAAAAAGTATTAAAGATTAAAAAAAGAAATTATATATATTTTTAAAGTTACACATTTTACATAATACTACATAATACTGTGACAGTTCTGCGGATTTAGCAGCCAGGTATATATTGCACAGTTTTTAACGGCATATATATATTGCACATACTGCAAATATTGCACATAGTTTGTATTTATCAACAAGAGGTGTTATAGTCTGTGTTGTTTTGTGCAGGGTCCACTAGGGGCTGTGCTGGTTGTATAGTCTGACCGCTGCAGGAAGGAAGGACCTGCGGTATCTCTCCGTGAGACAGCGGGGGATGGCGTCAGGTCCACCAGAACAACCTGCTGGCTCGTTGCGGATACGTAATTTCACATTCTAACACAGTTTATTTGTACCTGATTGTTGCCAACTACGATGCTCAACAGCTCGCTTAACGGAACTTTGACGCTGGTCTCAGTTTTCTAACATCCATGAAGGCAACATGACAGAGGGAGGCCTGTCACTCAGGATGCCAAACTACTCTTTGGTAAGCCCCGCCCCACCAAGCAACATCAGGGCCAAAAGTTTGAAAGCGAAAAAAAAAGATCTGAAAGCGAAAAACGATCTGAAGGTGAAAAGCAAAGATCTGAAAGCGAAAAACGATCTGAAGGTGAAAAGCAATGTGAAACCTGAAAAAACAAGATTTGAAACTGAAAAAATAATTGTTTTGAATCTGAAAACGAAAAATCTGTGCTGAAAAAAATAAGGATTCAAATATCAAAATATGTATAAAAGTGAAATCTGAAAATAAATATATTATTCAAAAAAATTGCTGAAGTGAATCAAAATAATATTCAACCTGAAAAATTATTTCAAATACTTTTTTAAATTTTGAATACATCATTTAATTTTTCAAAGTTCAGGATAAAAACTTGAACTTTCAAATAAATTGTATTTTTTTGAATGATCAAAACTTATGACCCTGAAATAGCTCCATACATTTCAATCAGGAGAGACTTCATTAGTAGTGAATGAATAGCTTTATTGACATACACAAATGGATGAGAAATATAGTCTCTGGTGATAAGACCTCATTGTGACATCATGTATTTTAAAGAGTTGGTGAAGCCATACTGTAAATAAATAAGAGAATGTCAAATATATGGATGAGATGAGTAGAAGAATGAGCTCGGTCTGAGCGCTGAATGTGAATATGTCTGGAAGTGAAAGTGATGAAAGGGGGACATTTGACAGCTTGGTTGCTGCTAACCTATCAAATCACCATAAGATATAACGGCTGTAGGCTATGTGATGTAGCCAGAAGTGACACAAGAAAGCAGGGCAGGTGACAATTTCATATCACGTGAAAGCTGCTCTAGGCTAGAAAGTGAACTTCCCAAAAACTATTCCTGGAAAAGGTTGTACAGAAACACATGGTGAAACCCTTATTCTTGCAGGTTAATTCTGAGGTTTGTCTGGGACATGAGGAAGCAAGTTGGGAACTGTTTACACAAATGTAATACATATAGGCCTAGTACTAGCTGATGATGTGTAATAATGTTGCTTCAAACACGTGAAGATTTTTTAAAATATATGTTCACAATTTTATTATCAAAATCAACATTTATTTCATATGGCTTTACATTTTTTTTCTTTTATTTATTGTTTTTTATTTACTTCTTTACTTCATGCCATTGCGAAACAGTATCCACAGAGCCACAACACACACACAAAGTCAGAACAAAAAAACACATTGTCTTTGAAGGTTTAAATTAAAGGCACTGTTTCTTATAAAATAAACTAGATGTTATTAATCATCATCATCACCATCAGTGTCATCGCCGGTAACGTCATTCTCACAATCATTGTTACATAAGATGTCTGGTTATATCATCAGAGCAGTGGGAGTGCTGGTGGAGGTTTGTCAGCTGTTAGAGAGGCAGGTAGTTGGGGGCCAACAAGAGCTCCCTTTTTCCGTAGGTGCCAGATCCCACATTAGTCGGTGCGTAGACGGTACCAATCGTGTTACTGGAGCGCACCAGGAAGTCTGATAGCCTTTGGGTGACGCAGGTGGCTGTGTTGCATTTTCTCTTCTCTATGCGGTGGCTAAATCAAAGATATCACAGAAATAATCAGACATCACAATACAGAGAAAATGTTTATTCAGGTAAGGATGCTGGTGGTTTCCATAAATGTTGTTACCTGTCCATGGCTGTGAGCCCCCTCTGCGGCCGTGTACTCACAAACCCGAGGAACGGGTTGGAGATCAGCTCGGGAGCTAACCAGCTGTCACTGTCTGGGAGATCACTTTCCTGCTCGCTGGATGAGCTGGGACTGAAGTACCTGCATTACAGAGGGAAAAAGGGCCAAACAGTTTTACACTGATAGCTGATCATACCCTCTTCAAAACATCCACTAGTCCCAAGAGCAAGAAGAAAAAGTGGGCACTTAGCTCCTCACCAGTTGCACTTTCCCACACATGGGCACAATTGGCATCCATCTCCAGAGTTATCAATGCCCTGAGGCTCCTCACACAGAGCATTACAGCCCTACTTATCACACAATCTCCATGATATTCAGCTGCTTGTCTACTGACCTCAGATCTGTTATGATCAACACTTCAGCTAAATGAAAGTCTTTGAACTCTGCCCCTAATCTTAAACCACTAAATGAGTGCACAGCCACATTGTATTTGGATTGCATTTCATAAAGCGCTTTTACATACACAAGTCAGCATTCACTCATTCACACATATTCATTCAGACAGAGCCTGTCAATGTGCCACTTGGTCAAGGAAAACTTACATTAACACAGATTGCCATCAGGAGCAATTTGGGGTTAAGTATTTTGCCCAAGGACACATGAACATATTAAATAAACGAGTGCAAGGGCTGGGGATATAATCACTTCAATTTGATGGATGACTACACTTCATCCGGAGCGACACCCCCCTGTATGCACTCACCTGTAGCGTGGGGCAGCAGAGACGCAGCGCAGCAACACAAGCAGTATCAGGAGGAGCACAGACATCTTCAAGTGATCCATGTTGTAGGGTGATTACCTGAATCAACACAGCAAGAACAGCACTTTATTCATGGTTACAGAAGGCTATTGAAAACAGAGGAATACATATTTTGCGTGCAATATATAACCAAAAACACCTGGCCAAAAGTCAGGAACAAAGACGCCAATTCAATTTTATCATCCGTACAAAATGTAAGAGTTCAAATTACATAGATGCGTGTCATTACAATTAGGACAAAAACAGAACACACAATTAAAAATATTTGCTCAATAATTCAGCAACGATTGTACACCATTGCCTGCAAAAGCTTAATAGTTAGAATTAGGTTGGCAACAAACAATAATTGTTATATGGATTCATCTGTTGATGATTTTCTTTAATAATGTATTAATGTGTATGTACATAGGAGAACATTTACAAAACAATTCCCCTCACTATTTCTCAAAGGCCAAAGCAATATCTTTCAAATACTTTTTTTTGTCCAACCAACAATCTTAAACCAAATTATAATTCATTTATTTAATATAGAAGATCTGATAATGGTAAATTAGAAGTATTGGACATTTTGCATTAAAAAAAGGACTGATCCAAATCAACTTCAAGTCGGAATAGTTATTCTTGTGTCTGCAGATAAAAAATATTATTATGTTATTATTGTAGATGGCTTTTTATGATGCTTTCTTACAATAGATAAAATAATCCCTCATTTCTACATCATCATTTGATGGCACATTTCCGTTGTGCGACAAGTCCTATGTCCTTAGAAACAATTTACATTTTCAAATAATAATATACAGTAGTTCAGTTGTTTTGTCAAATTTCAAGAAAGAAAACACAATCCTGAAAGAGGTAGAGATTTAAATTCAAAGAAAACTATTTGTATTCAAATAAAAACAACCAATTTGATTTATACACATACTGTATAAAAGCCAAGTTAAGCCAGAGGAAAGACAGAGAACTTACTTTGAGTTGTGTTCAGTACCCAGATCCCAGTCTGTCACTGTAGCAGTCCAGGGTTTGTCGGACTGTCACACAAACCGGCACCAACAGTTATAGGCTCATCGCTCAAACCACTTGTGACATCAGCTCTGTCCAAATATAGCCTTGCATTTTCATTTACACAGAATAGGGATGACGAAGGGGGAGGAGGGGAAATCTAAGAGGGTCTTCTATATGCCATAAGCACACTCGGCGTTACTCTAATGTACACTCTTAAACTTGTACACACGCAGACAAATGCTCATTTTCACAGTGAACACACACAATCACACAAATCTTTGTACGTCAACATCCTCATCATCACCTTCGTCATCAGCCCCCGAGGTGGGACTGACCCACGGTAAACCCACACCAGGGAGAGGAAAGTTGTCTTTCTATTTACCTTGAGACACATAATAAAGTTTTAGGTCACCAAACTCTGGCCCTCCTTCAGCCTCCCTCTGGGCTACATGGACGATGAATAATAAATGTGAAGATGAATTATCGTGCATAATTAATGGTGTCTCATTATTTTGATGGGACACGTCACAAACAAAGTACTAATTAATGAAGTGACGGTAAAACTTGTGAGTAGCATTTGACGTGACGTGACCTGCGAAACTGAAAAATTGCCGATTAGCATTCGCTTAATTTGTATAAGTTAAAAGCAAATATTAATAATGTTTAGTAATTATTCTTCGCTTCAAAACTGCTAAAATCATAATTATTTTGTATCAACAATGGGCTAAAATGTGTAATGTTAATGTTGTCATAGTGAACACCCCACAGATAATTATCACCAACGCATTAAGGCATCTTAGATATGTTTGTTGTTTTGTTTTTTTACAGTTGTAACTTTACTAATTTGGTTGACCCTCAATCCTCATTGTCTTTTTTTTGTTCCAAATCGGAAACTATTTAATAAATAAATTGTGCTTCAATGAAAAGGTCCTGAACTTTGATTGAGAAAACAGACTTGCCAGTAAAATGTTTACTAAAGTACTGAATCAAGTAAGAAGCAGGATAATTTTCTCGTAGACTTCCATACAATCAGACCTATTTTTGCAACCAATAGATTCGCCCTCTGCTGGCTATAAGAGAGATTGCAGGCTAAAGGCACTTACACATGAGCTTGACTTCTCAAACCTGGAGGTTGCTGCTTATGTAAACTAAGAGGAACGTTTATCATAGAGTTTATCATGGACTAAGTATTGTCAGGTGGCTAGAAACATTAATCCTACATCACTTCCTACGATGGCTAGAGAACACACGCTTGAAAAACATTATTCCGCTCTATTTTATGTCAAGACCACACAGTGTCATTTCTATGTAAACTGAATGTTTGTCTCATAAGATGACTATGACTGAGATTTGGGGCCAGTTGGACAATATACCATGCGTTTACACCAACTTCCTGTTTCATGAAATATTGTGCATGAGAAGTGGTATAACTACAACGTAAATTGTCTAAACGTGCCCAAATCTCACATGTATCCTCAGAGTTCATGTCTGAGGAAGTTTTAAGATCAATAAGATGCCTCTCATGTGAGGTAACCACTTGATATACTGTAGGAGTAGTCATAAAAATGCAATTATCAGTGAATGCAAGAAAATAAATTAAACATAACATTTGAAAGGACCACCTGGACCATGTTTCTGATTATCCCACAGTCTCAGTGGGAAGATGCCACCACAGGCTGCTGGTAAGTGCTGCTGGTTCTCACCACAGCTTGGAGATAACTGAGAAACATAGTGCATTGCTAATGGATATTTAACACCCTGAAACCCATCAAGGTCCCATGAACACCTCCTTGTGTTTCCTGTAAGTTTCCCAACTGCAGACAAAAACATAGGGACAAGATAATTGTTCTACTTTAACATGGATTATATAGTTTTCACGTACAGCATAATCAAAGTTGATTGAGTGTACAGATTATTTCCAATGCCTGCTAATGCACCATGTCGTCAGCAAACTAATTGAATTTAATATGTAATTTACCTATTAAATATTTAACTACTCCAGTGGATTCGAGCAGGGAGTGTAGAAAGGTTAATGTGCATAGTCTTGAAAGAAATGACATGTGAGTAGAGAAAGTGAGATACATTAAGGGGTTGGTGTATATGTAGGATTATATGTCTATTTTTAAAGGCTAAAGTCTGGGGAAACGTGTCTCTTGTATAACTCTCCTTTCTTGTCACTTGGATTTCTTTGGACATGGGTGGCATCTCAATTTATTTCTCAGGTCACGGAAAGAAAGACATGGATTTGGGCTAGGAAGCAAGAGCTCAGTGTTGCTCTATTAGTATTCCTGCAGGACATGAGAGGGGTCAAGAGTCCCTGGGGAATAATTAGCCGATGGGTAGCCAGTGCCAGAAAAGGTAAAAGTGCTGTAACCTCTGATAATGACTATGCATGTTTATTATTGTTAACTGGGGATGTGTCCATTCTACTTTAATGATAGACACTCAGATGTATGTGCAATACCTGCGTACAAACAGTTTTAGGTAGTAAGTAACAGAATAACCAGATTACATAATCAGATTATAAAAACAGAGATGTTGCATAATATCTGCCAAATATTAGGGACACACGTAGTTAGTTTGTGTCTGATTCATCCACACACACAAATAAATACATGTTAACGTCATCAACACCTACCTGTACTGGGAAAACAAATGACAGTTTTGCTCACATTGATATCTGCTCTAAATAAATGTTCACCTTAATATGTAGTTCGTCTTCGCTTCACAGAACTTTTTAGCACATTTCAAATAATTGTTCTGCTTTTAATTTACTATGACATACCGTGTGTTTGAATTATTTGATAAAGATGACGTATTATGTTCATTTACAGGTTCATATTTTGTGCCTCTACTTTGACACGTTTACCTTCTCTACTGTTCAGAAAGGTCTTTATTTTTCAAGCAGGGGGGGAGTGTGTGGGAGAGAAACTCCCTCTGGAGGGAACTTTGGGATTTTAACATTTACGGTACGTCCACACAGCAGCTTTAAAAACATCTTCCAACGCTTCTCTGCCCATTGACTTTGAATGGGGGTGACGTCACTTTGCCTCGCTTTTCGTCGAACTGCATTGTGGGGAAGCAAAGCAAAGATTTCCAGGATTTTCAGGATTTTCAGGATTCAAAAGTTGAGCAATGTTCAACTTTTGAAATTGAGCTGGAAGCGTCAGCCAATCAAATCCCGTTTATGCAAATCTGTCAGTACAAGCGCTAGCCAATCAAACCGCTCGCAAGCTGGGAGAGCCAGACCGCAGTTCATTTCCTCATATTCCAAACGAGAAATTACGGTAGCAAATCACCCGGTTCTTTACGACCAGAACTATTTACCGGGATACAAACCGGAGGAACCAGGCATGGAGGGAGGGGGCAGAGACAGTGGGTGAAACTGGTAGGTTTTCGCCTGTTTGGGGAGTNTGCGTACCCGGAAGAATCAATGGACAGTGACGTATCTCCAACGAGGCGTTTTGGGGAGGTATTTTCTGTGTTAGAGTTTTACTCGCTACAGGGTGTACTTTGAGGGTTTTCACTCTGCAGACCGTTTACATGCATAAAAACCTTCATAACACACAAGGGGACGGGTAATAACCGGAAAAGCATGACATGGGACCTTTAAGATTCTCCAAGTCAACATATAATGAAATAAAATGTAATGGTTATTAGTTGTTTTCTTTTTTTCAAAGCAATAACTGAATCAGTTTTCCATCAAATAAACTCCTTGACTAATCATCTAAATATGTGGTATGTTTTTTCTTTTGGGCAAAATCAAAGCATTAAACTAAACTTCAATGTACACTTTGTCACCTGTAACATGAGATTGTAGCAGATTTGATAATTAATAAGTAAGCATCATGAGTAACACATGAGCTACCATAACAAGGTGGAGGAGGGTCATTGCATTCCACTTCCTCTTTCAAGATGATCAGTTTAATTTTTAAAGAACAGGATTTCACATATCATTCAACAACTTGTCTGGGCACGGCTTAGTATTGGTAAAAAACAGGGAAAACTTTGAGACATGTTAGAGATGTTAGCCTTTGCAGACCATTTACATGCACACAAACCTATATAACTACAGAGAAGGGAAAACCTCAAAAACTACAATAGGGCCCCTTTAACACATAAATCACAAAAATATGCTTTTTATATATGAAGTGTTTATTGGACGTACACAACTAGTGAACACAAAAATGAATAACACATGAGTGATGAATAAATTATGAACACAGATACAGCAAACACTTCCTAAAAAGAAATAGGAATCAGTGACTGATATCATTGTTGATCTTTACCAATTCAATTAAACTTTAACATATGAATGCACTGTTCCACGGTTCATAGGTCAACAGAGAAGAGGGGGCCAACATTCAGTTTAGATCCCACTTTTTGTCTGAAGTATATTCACCAATGCTTATTAATTTGTTTAATTCTAAGCATCTGACATCACTCAAGCCATTAACATAAGATAATCTTTGTGTCCATGAATTTCAGACTATAATATTCATATTCCATTGTTTATTTGCCTGAGTATCTGGGTTATATTAGTTGAAGATTAAATACATTTAATTTTGCATTAACAATCCGTTTTCTCGAGTACTTTAATCACAGTTTGGTCTCAGAGTGGTAGTAATTTATGGCTTATTTCCACTGCAGCGGGTAGCCCCGTTTAAGCGTCCTTAATCGTCCTCAAGCGGCTAGGCCAGTTTTTGGTGGCCTTTCCATATAGCGTAGCACCGGCTAGCGGGTACTTTTTCCCTTTTTCTCCGGCCCCATAAAATCGTGGTTCTATCAGGCCAGGGCCAGGGCCGAACTAGTGACGTCAACACTCTCGACTGCTGATTGGTCAGAGAGAATCGTCACAAGATCGCGCGCGAGGCCATCCCTAGCGTCGCATATATATCTAGAAGCAAGCTTGCAGCATTTTTATACACAGCATTTTTGTAAACGGAGGAGCTACAAAAATGGCAACGTCAAAGAAAAGCACACCGTGGTCGACCGAGGAGGTGACGACGTTCCTACATCTCATTGGCCAAA